GAAGGGAACTTTCTGTGTCATCTTTAAGTGTCATCTCAACTCCATTTGATTGGACACTCATTTCAGCCAAAAATCCCAACCCGAGTGGCCCTTTTTTTCTCATTCCTCAAACAATATCTCCAATTGCTTTGTGCTAGGAGGCTGAAACTTATGAGGTGGCATACCTGGGAACAGCCCACCAAGTGTGCAAAGTTTCAAGCAAATCGGATGACTTTGTATTTTCAGGCATATTACACTCATTTGCCCGATGATTCAAAAAAATGCACTTTCTCCAATCATTTTCATTTTCATTTTCATACCTTTGAGAAGGTAGTTTAGTCCAAATTTCAGCCTCCTAGCCCATTGTTTTCTTGGGGTATTTAGACCAAATAAAGAGAAAATGCCATAGTTGACTATGCAAAAAGTGTTTGGAATTTCCCATTGGTTTTCATACCATTTAATCTTAGGGCAAAGGTTGAATTACTGTGAAAATCAGCCTCCTAGCTTATTGTTTTCTGGGGTATTTAGGCCAAATAAAGTCAGAATAAAGTCAAAATGCTATAAAATTACTATGGGAAACGTGTACAGAATTTCCCATTGATATTCATACCATTTAATCTATGGGATGATGGGGTATCCCAACCCAAATTGCAGAAATTGCCCCTAAAGGCATTGGAGAAACTCGGGACAATTAGTGCCATTTGGGGTGGGATTTTTGGCTGAAATGAGATCCTCAAATGTATTTGAAATGGCCATTTTCGAGTTATAAGGGAAGATGAGTTCCCTTATAATTCAAAAACTGCCATTTGGAGGACCTTTTCGTCCGGGAAATGGCAGTTCCCTTATAACTAAAAAGGGCCATTTTCACTACATTTGATTGGGATTTCATTTTGTCCAAAAATCCCAACCAAAATGGCCCATTTGTTCTCATTCCTCCCATACAATATCTACAGTATGCTCTGGGCTAGGATGCTGAAACCTATGAGGGGGCCTACCTGGGAACAGCCCAACAGGTGCGCAAAGTTTCAAGCAAATCGGATGAGTTTGATTTTTGAGCAAAATCAATGCCATTGCCTTACTTTGCCTGAGATGCCAAAATGTCACAATTTGAGATGCTAGCCCCAACAAACTTGCTGTGTGTGTTGCTATGAAGTCACAGAATATGTGTATGATGTTTGGTGGCTGTAGCTCATTTAGATCAAATTTCACCATATGTGGTGAAGATGCCAAAATGGCACATATTAACCCGAAAGGCATTGGGAAACCCGGACAATTACTGCCATTTGGGTCAGGACTTTTGGACAAAATGAAATCCCAATCAAATGTAGTGGAAATGGCTGTTTTCAAGTTATAAGATGAGTTCCCTTATAATTCAAATACGGCCATTTCGAGGACCTTTTTTCCGGGAAATGGCAGTTCCCTTATAACTAAAATGGTCATTTCCAATACATTTGATTGGGCTCTCATTTCCGCCAAAAATCCCAACCTGAGTGGCCCATTTGTTCTCATTCCTCCCATACAATATCTACAGTATGCATGAGGCATGAGGGGGCATACCTGGGATCATCTCACCAGGGGTGCAAAGTTTCAAGCAAATCGGACGAGTTTGACTTTTGAGCAAAATCGATGCCATTGCCTTACTTTGCCGGAGATTTATTAGAATTGGAGTCGGTCCAATCATTTTCATTTTCATACCAGTGGATCTATAATTTCAGATGATAGTACAGCTTCCTACCTCAAAGGGTTGTGGAGATCTTCCAGGTCAAATGTCAGTTTAACTCAAAAAGTGTCATTCTGACTACATTATTATGGAATTTCATGTGGCCCAACCATACTGACCAAATAGCAACATTTGTCCCAAAACATTGTTTCCGTACAATTGAGCATTGGTCCAAGATATCAACGTTTCAAAGCGGGATATCGAACGGTTGAGAAGATACGGCAGTTTAAAATGTCGATCCAGGATCCCACGGAGCTGGCCCTTAATCGGCCCAAAAGTTCCCATCAGTCCCGCCGCAATGGCCCAATTGTTCCCATAATTGTTCCCATGGTTTTGGAGTGGCCCTTTTGGGGCCAAATGGCCGGACCCGAATGGCAGTTTTGTTCCGGAGTGTCCTGTGAGTGGCGCCCCCCGGTGGACAAAAAAGATAAAGGGTCGTACAGGCAAACTGTTCCCGAACTTTGGAAAATCGTAACTCGGCGACCGCAGGTCTGAAGGGAACGCCGTATTCCCGCGTTAGACTAGGGCAAATACTATATAGGGCCCCGCGCCCTCCCGATTTTTAGCGGCGCTCCTTCCGTCCGTTAGGGGGGGGACAAAAAGGGAGGGTTTTATCCTTACCTCCAATGCAACTTTGCTCCGTGTGTCCCCCGAGTCCCTAGGGGCGGTTTAGACGATAAAACTACTTAGTTAGGTTTAGACGACAAAACTACTTAGTTAGGTTAAAATAATGGGATCCAATGAAATGCGTCCACTAGGTCAACTGAGGCAAACCAGTCGCCTTAGATGATGACCCGTAAATGAAGTAATCACAGCCCATGTGGTGTGATTAGGCTCACTGTCGGGGCGCGACGGTCACAAATATCTCAATGATAAAAACACCATTAACATATCTGGAAGGTCAGAAGGTCAATTCCTTGTTGGATGCTTTAGAAACAGGAGGTCTTAAAATCTAAAATTGAGTAAATATGTATCAGCCAAATCAAATAGTTTACAGGATATTCAAACTTTATTTCTTTATATTATATTTAATACTTGACTTGTTTCTTTACAGGGTTTGTATAAAGAGAATAAAGTAGTCCATAAATATGAGATATGAGTTTACAGTTGATTATAATCCCTCCTCGGCATTGTGGAGGTTGGTTTATGGCTTTTGTTACACTCGTCTTTTTGATTCTTCACAGTTAATTTTGTTTGCATGCCCTCTGGTGTTTCTGAGATAATGCAACTAACGGTGCGTAAAGTACAGACACCTTTGTGCATGCTACGGTTCCAAGCACGAGTATAAATAAAGCTGTACACTCGACTTTCATAGCAGGGGCCTCAGAAACTTGTTGAACCCTCTGACCTCACCTCCAAGAGTGGCGATCTCAGTTGCCTTCTTGTTCTGAGGATCTGCTGCTGCTGAAAACAGGCTGGCCTTGACGGTGGGGGATGACTAAAAAACTGCTAACTGAAACCCAGAAACCACCCAGCTAGCAGTCGTCGATTGGCTGTTTGGGTTGAATAGATAGGTGAAGTCCCGCACCTTCGGGTGGACGAACTTGGGACTTATTTCAGAATAAAATATATACGGTATTCAACGGTGAGAGACAAATATTGTCTTTATCAAGTTTGAATTGTGCCACGAATTACACATATGATGTTTGTGTATTTAAAAGATGATTTTGCTCGTCAAGAAAGTCGACAGGTTGTCTTCAACTTTTGAAGTCTAAGATTGTGAAAACACGTAATTTGAAAGACAACACACCCAAAAGTAGAGTAAGTGACCCCTCTCTCTGAAGCTACAATGCCTGTGTGTTTTATCAGATAACATAACGTTACATTTGGAACATAGCTAAGTTAGCTAGCTAGCAAGCCAAGCTAATGGCCATGTTGGTGACGCACACTGAGTGAGAAGTTGTTTACATGTTTGCAGCTTTTCCTTTGCAGAGCGTAATGAGCTCCATGGAGGCTGAAGCAGTCTGATAAAAACAGCCCACATTTCTCTGTTTGTGTGTTTGCTGGTGCACCAAGGTACGGATGACTGAATCAAATCCTGTGATGCAGGTGATAAGAGACTTCTAGTCAGGCACCTGTTTCATCCATTAACATTTTCTTTTAGACATCCAGAATGAATAATGAATCAAATGTGACATATATAACTCTTGGTGGGCATGTGGAAGTGCACAAATATGGATTTCTGTACTTTGTGATCATGTTTACAGCATATCTTCTAATAATCTGCAGTAATTCTACTATTGTGTGCATTATAGTGATTCACAAAAGCCTCCATGAGCCTATGTACGTATTTATTGCAGCTTTATTAATCAACTCTGTTCTTTACAGCACTGCTATCTACCCAAAGCTTCTGATTGACTTTTTATCTGATAAACAGAGGATATCTTACTCGGCATGTATCTTCCAGTGGTTTATATATTACACTCTGGCTGGTTCAGAGTTCTTCCTGTTGTCACTCATGGCCTATGACAGATATGTGTCTATATGTAAACCTCTGCAATATCCAACCATCATGACAAGAAACACTGTTAAAGTCCTCCTGATTGCAGCTTGGATTGTGCCTGCCTGTCAGATGTCAGTGCCGATGCCGCAGAGTGCTTCTAAAAAACTCTGTAGCTTTACTTTGAAAGGAATCATTTGCAACAGCACAGTTCACAAACTTCACTGTGTGAGATCACAACTGCTGAACATATACGGCTTGATCGTGCTTGTAGACGTGGCACTCCTTCCTTTGCTCTTCATAGTTTTTACATACATAAAGATATTTGTAATAACCTATCGAAGCAGCAGAGAAGTCAGGAGCAAAGCTGCACAGACCTGTTTACCTCACCTGCTGGTTCTAATCAGCTTTTCTTGTTTGGTTACGTATGATGTTCTTTCAGCTCGACTGGACGCTGATTTTCCCAAAACTATACAATTTATATTGAGTTTACAAATGATGTTGTATCATCCTCTCTTTAATCCGATCATATACGGACTGAAAATGAAAGAAATTTATAAGCACCTGAGTGGATTGTTCTGCAAAACGGTCTAATGCAGAAGTGTCTCAACCTTTTTCCAGTCAAGGACCCTTTTAATAAGATGGAGGATATACTGGAGACTCCCTCATGCATGTCCTCTGAATATAGTGATGTGAAAGAACAACACAGGAGAAATGTATGAGACAGATATTAGACATGTGATTGTAAGAGTTAAAGATTAGATTAGAATGTAATCTATATTAATTTTGATGTGTATATCAGTGAGAACACATGAAATGAAACTATCTAGTCTCAACAATTCTAAGTGATGGAGAGATCATTTACACTGTGGCCTGTAGGTAATACACGTAGCACGTAGCATGTAGCATGAAGCGTCCATGTGCCACAGTATCAAGCACCATCAGCTCCAACAATGTGATCATAGTAGTTAAAAACAGCCGGCTGTGACACTCCAACTCTAAATACAGAGCGCTTCATCAGGGTGACTAACAACACAACACAACATTTTTATTCTATCGACACTCTGAATTGTTAGTTTGTGATGAACTTTACCGGCATCATTGTTTCTGTGTGTCTCGTTAAATCAACAGCGTGTGCTTCTGGACCACAGTTCTGCATTCGACACTGTAGGACCAGGACTACACTGAGACTGGTTCATACAGAGGATCAGGACTAAACTGAGACTGGTTCATACAGAGCAGGGGTCTTCAACTAAAATTCCAAAAGGTCCAGGTTGAGAAAATCTCCTCGGGCAAAGGTCCGGAACATTACAATAATATCTAATTCGCGCTATTTAGTGCCATATATATATATATATATATATATATATATATATTCAAGAAGTCTAGTAGTAGTAACGTCTCTGTGTCGTCAACAACTGTCAAATCAAATAAATAAAGTACACATCAATTATATTTTAACCAATTATTATTCTCACTTTTCAAATTTAACTGGATGGATTATAAGTAATACATAGAAATACATAAATACATGTTCTTCTCATTTCAAGTACAATAAGGTCTAGATTAAAGAATAACTGACGTAACAGGTTTTCAAAAATGTGCATCTTAAAATAAAGTAATTCATTTTAGAAAAATGAATTTCACTGAATTGTCCTGCAGCTTTAAATTCAGTTCATTCAGTGTGAAGTGATGTCAATAAAAAGCCACAATATTATATTTTTGTCTTCTACCAAGAGAAATCAGTGAGCATGGACTTTATCTGTGGTTATTAAACCACTTGTTTCAGCTCTATTCTCTCTGTTAACATCATTGGACAGTGAATTAACGTGTCAGGATTCTGATCATTTTGGGCTCTTAGGTTTATTTTCTGTGTCTTCATTTAGATGTGAGTGGATACGTTTGTTCAAAAGAGTTGTGCTTTGCCTCGTAGTGCGCTTCATTTGCCGCTTTTATCAATAGTTACGGTTTCTGAACATATGAGACATGCTGGTTTTAACTGATGCAACTGCAAAAGCAGAGACAGTTATTTAACAATATGTTAGGAGTAGTTACAGTTATACAGTCTTACAGTTACAACCGGCCCTTTGAGGGAAACATGATGCTGATGTGGCCCGGAGTGAAAATGAGTTTGACACCCCTGGGTTAGAGGATCAGAACTACACTGAGACTGGTTCATATGGAGCAGAGGTCTTCAACAGGGGGTCCGCGGCCCCTAGGGGGTCCGCGGAGGCACTGCAGGGGGTCCGCGAAATCTTTGGTTGATTAGACAATTAAAAAAAAAAAAAATGTATATATTTTTTTCTCTAAACATGAATGTGTCCATTATTTTAATAGTTCAGTATTGTATGAAAGATAACAGGTATGTTTATGCATGGCAGTGGCACTAATAGGCCATCACTCATTTTCGTTTCCACATTTATGTTAAAAATGAAAACATCAGTGTGAATAGCTTGTATGATGATTATCATGCAATTGACAGACAATGTTGATGTTGGCATTGGTATCAGCTGACAAGGTGTGTTTATAAATGGCAGTGGCACGGCCTCCCTACTCACTGTACCTTGCACATGTTTAAAATAAAAACATGAATATATGAACCTGTGTATTATTAGAATAGCTTAGTATTGAATTCACAATAAAGAGGTATGTTTATACATGGCACTAGGCCCATTTAATATAAAACACAATTTGATACAATATATATATAGTCAGGAGTCCCTGCTCCATCTCTATCAGTTTTGGGGTCCTTGGCCTGAAAAACGTTGAAGACCCCTGATATAGAGGATCAGGACTACACTGAGACTGGTTCATATAGAGGATCAGGACTAAACTGAGACTGGTTCACATATCTACATGAACCAGTCTCAGTGTAGTCCTGATCCTCTATCAGACCTCCATCAGTACAGAGACCATCAGAGAGAAGATGGTCTGTTTCTATAGAGTTATTCTTGATGCTCGTCATCGGAGCCACCGGGTCGGATTCTGATGAAACCAGATGAAATCATGCAGGTTCACCAGAACCTCCTTCAGCTCAGACTCGTTATTATCTTCACACTGAGTTATTGTTTACCCATCTGAGGCCGTCTTCTTTGTTTTCATGAATATGAGGCAGCTGCACACTGTAAATGATCAAAGTCTACAAATAGTGGTAATAATAACTAAATGCTTTCTTTGATTTATTCTTTCACAATTTTTTTTCACAATTTTTTCACAATCCATATTTGTGCACTTCCACATGCCCACCAAGAGTTATATATGTCACATTTGATTCATTATTCATTCTGGATGTCTAAAAGAAAATGTTAATGGATGAAACAGGTGCCTGACTAGAAGTCTCTTATCACCTGCATCACAGGATTTGATTCAGTCATCCGTACCTTGGTGCACCAGCAAACACACAAACAGAGAAATGTGGGCTGTTTTTATCAGACTGCTTCAGCCTCCATGGAGCTCATTACGCTCTGCAAAGGAAAAGCTGCAAACATGTAAACAACTTCACTGCATATTTCAAACTTGATCATATTCAGCATAACTAACACATAGTTCAAAAAAACATGTTAAAACACACACAAGGGGGAACATGTCAGTATCTCATGGACTTAATGCACAAGCAAACATTTGTCAACATATCATAT